CTACAAGTTGTTGCGAGCTCACAAAAAAAAACAACGAAACTCGTAAAATTTCAAATTTTTAGCTTTGTTTGTTCACAGCTTACAATGCTAGCATAAATTTAACCAAAATGACAACAATGATTGGGACAAAATGCAACTTAAATTAACTGTAGGCCACTGGTACAACATACAGCCAAAAACTTTCTCCTCGGAATTTCAAGCATACACTTTCTTTGCTTCTTGAAATGTGAAATTAGCCTGGTTTTCAAACTACTGCCTAAGCCTATAAATAGGACGGCCTGAAAGTTTGTTTTGACCTTATGTATAATAAATTCATATACTTTCAAGCTCGCATATTTTTTTAATTTTCGAACTGTGAATTTCCCCGAATTCACTCTACGAATCGGAAGCTAAGACAAGGCAATTCAAAGCTGATTTTTAATTTTTTGGCCTTGTGCTCGATTGTAAATTTAATTTCTAAGGTATTTCATTAGAAAAGTGTAACTTGCTGATACCCATCATGCGTCGTTCTACGGTTTTTTTAGGTCACCGATGTTCCAAATGTTGACCTGTGGTGAAAATTTAATCAGCTCAAACCATTTTCATAAAGTTTGAAAACATGCGCATCGAGCATGAAGTTACAGTTAAAAACGCGATAGGCTTCTCGACTGAATTGCCCAAATGAATAAAATTTTCAGGACTGAATTTTGATAGCTAGATACACAAGTCCCGAGGAATTGGCCTAGCTGTACACTTTCACGTAAACGTTTTGTACACACAAAGCCAGTGGAAGCGCAAAAACGTGTGTGGTACTAAAATACTGTAAACACTTGTGGCCTGTGGTACCGCAGCGGTGCTAGTCGAATCTTGTATTTTTCTTACATGGGTTGTAATTTATGCCCTGCTTATGTGTTAAACATTGCTAGTTATACCCCTTAGCGGTCCTTATGATTCATTATCCAGCACTGTTGCTGGTATCAGGACCAAAACGTTTGGTACAACCGGCAACAAGCAATTTTGCCTTTTCATCCAGAAAATCACCGTGCTCACAAACTTTGAATTGGTTCCACTAATTTTATGCATGTCAGTGTGTAAAATTTTATGCGTGTCACATGTGGCACCATAATATTTTAGTGGTGCTGAATCAAATTTTTGCATCGTTTTTATGCGTTTTTGCATAATATGCAAATGAAACGCATATTGCGACGACCCCG